TTTATATGCTGTAGTGCTGTAGTTTTACGATTTTTATATTTTATTATTGTGTATTACGTTATAGATTAAGGGGCTTGGCGATGAGACAAATGGCTTCTTATTGCCCCTGCTATTTGTATTTACATATGTTTTATGTTATAAATAAATTTATATGGCAAAAAAAAAAAAAAAAAAAAATTCTTAAATCTTTTTACAAAACAAACTTATCTCAAATATTTCAAAAGATATATGAGGTTTAGTTACACACTGTAAATAATTTCAAAAGTTATATGAGTTTTAGTGACACCCTGTAAATAATTTCAAAAGTTATATGAATTTTAGTGACACTCTGTAAATAAACATTTTATGAAATAATAAACTTAATGTTTTAAAACACTTTTAACATTTTTAGAAAACTTATATTGCAGAACGGGTGAAAAAAGACCATCTAATGTTTGTTATTTTTTTAAGTATAAAACATAAAATATGTTTGAATATTTAAAAATATCAAAGAACTATAAAAAATGAGTTTATTTTATAGTTCCAATGAAAAAGTCTTATTAAATACTCCTTTTTGTAAAAAATAATAATAAAAATAGCTTCTTTTTGGATGGTTTTTATAAATTTTTATGATCTGCTGTAGGGTAGTGGTTATAAAGAAGACCTCCGATTACCAAACTCTTCAAAATGACATTACCCACCTCGTTGAATGGGCCCATGTCTGAAGCATATGTTTTAACATAAACAAGTGCAAAACTATGTTCTTTGACAAAGGAATTAACAACCGCTATAACACTGTTTTTATAGACGACCTACCGGGTTCGCACATAATCTTTACCATGACCGACCAAAACAACCACAGCCTTGAGACCAGCTCTGAGCGCAACCAATAAGTGTGACCAGCTGGGGATCATTGGTAAAACTAATCATGAGCGCAACATTATTGTCAACGACCAACTCAAGTGGTGGGATCAAGTTGCACACGCTGTTGCCAAAGCTAACATGTCGCTAGGAATATTAAAAAGAACCTTCCACCATTGGAATATTAATAGTTTTGTTCTTCCGCATGGAATCCTTATTATCGCCAAGGCATTGACGCTCTCGAAGCAGTGGAAGAACTTTGTGCCTCATCTCAAGCCCTTAAAGCATCGTCAAAAACTAACCTCTATAAACATGTATTATATATAAAATATATATAAATATTGCGGCTGTGGCGCAGTGGTTAGAGCGCTTGCTTTATAAGCAGAAGATCCAGATTCGAAACAAGCTTTGGACATATTCGCGTCACTGTAAGAAAAGGCGTGAACTTCCTGGTTAAATGCACTTCCGCGGTGCTCTGTGACAAGACCGTTAGGACTTCTTGGGGCACCTAAAAAACAAACAAATAAAAAAATAATAATAATAAAATATTCAAACTCTAGAGGTAAGACAGCGTAGAGGTAAACTCATCCAATACTTCCAGATGTACCACGGCCTTAACAATGTTGAGCTCCAGATATCAAACCAGTTAGTTGCAGCATTTAGTGTACAGAGACCTACAAATAATCTCGGAGGGCAGTGTCATCAAATTCAACGCCAAACAGTAGCTAACTGTGCCCAACGAATAATTTTTTTCTCCAATCGCGTTGTACCTGACTGGAATTTACTTGCAAATTCCATCATAACTGCCGCATCATTAAACAACTTATGCCGCAACATTAAAACAATACATATTTTTCTGAACGTTTATTACAAAAAAAACTGCTTAAAAGAACTGACATTTATCAGAGCGGAGTTTCGTTAGTTAACCCGCTTGCAAATGTTTAAGAATTTGTTGTAAATTACTTATATTATTAGTACTAAATCTAATAGATCTCATAAACGCTGCGTCGGATTTACATAACCTTTTCAATATTTGAATAATAATTTAACCTGTTAAACATTTTTTGAAAAATATATAACTTTTAATTTTTTTTAAGAAGATATTGTCTAAAGTTTGCGGAGCTGCTCAACCCACCGGGGTAGTTGAGCAATTGTGTGGGGTAAGTTGAATAATCAATAAATAAATGAATATGCATGATAAGAAACTTAAGTAAATCATCATTAAAACTTTCACTAACAGTAAGCGTGAGTATAATTGTAGCTTAATTAATTGTAGTAATTGTGAGTATAATTAGTAAGCTTTTTATTTTATACTCTTTAATGATATAAGTAAGAGAAGAGAAAAAATAGTCATAAAAGTATAAGAGTATTATTTTATACAATTATCTTGAACTTTGATGTCCAGTTTAAAAATTACTAATTTTAAAAATATATAATGTACTGCTAAATTGCTTCTCATCAAAGTTTTTTCTTTGTGTTCGATAGTTCAGTTTTATTTATTTTTTTCAAAGCTGCTCAACTTACTTTTACTAGACAAGGCACATTGGTTAGGTTTTAAAGAGAACAGTAAAACTTGAGAAAAACGGCTCATTTTAATTGAAAGTCTGATAGATTGGTAAAATATCAATACTTTAATGGTGGCAGATAAAAAAATTTGTAAGCATATAAGAAAAAAATAAAAAAAATTTTTTTTTTCAGTTTTTTGGTCTAAAATAGAAAAAGTACAAATCAATCTCACTCAGTTGCTCACCAACAATCTTTTGTTTTGCATTGCGTTAACATTCTAATTCCCTAACTTTCATCCATTAGATGTTTTGTCATGAGATATTTTATTTGTCAATAAAATATCTCATGAAAAAATTATGCTTAACTAGCCCCACTCTACCCTACAATATTTAATTTGAATTTTTTTTGTGTGTGAATTTTATTTTCTATTTTGTTGTACAATGCTCTTATCCCTAAAGATATTGTTGGCTTAACAAAGGAAAACCCGCAAATTTTCGCACTAAGACTTATTTAAAGTAGCATCCATTATTGACCAACATTTTTGCCTACCGAAGTACCACTCAAGCATTGAGTTGGCGGTGGAAGACTTTGAACTTGTATCGCAAAACAGTCAGGGTTTTAAATTTTTCTTTGACGCTTACTAACTGAGCTAGAGAAATTTTGTCAGCTTGTGTTATAATGTTTACTGAGGTACCAGAAACAATATACCGATAATGTTATAACGTTTAGTGACTAAACAAGGGATTTAATAGATCTGTTTCACATAGGAGGAAGGGGGTGAAAGACTGTTAAATCTCACTTTAAATTCAAATCTAAATTTACCAAAGCATTGAACTTGGCGAATTAACCAATAGTTTATTTGCCAAGTTCAATTTAAAGTTCAAAGTAATTGTCATTACTTTACAGATGCAGTTTTTTGCCAAAATCAGGAACAAAATGCAGCAAATACAATTAAAAATAATAATATTAATTGACATCAGTTCAGAATGTATCCGTACGAACTTAGCATCCAAAATACAGTTATATTTGACAATACCTGCGTAAAAAATTTTAAACAAGACGATGTATGTATGTATGTATTTATGTAAGTCTTGATTTAAATTCTTTAGTTTTGTCTAAAAAATTTTACGCAAGTATTTTTTTGGTTAGTTTTTCAAATAACTTGTTTTAGTCAATTGTTCATTCTTACAAGTTTCGTGTAATAACAAAATATGACACAAGCTAGTAGAAAACTCGATGTGGCAAGAAATATTTAGAAAAAGATTGTTTCGGAGTAATTCCATAAGCAATTAGCTCTAACTAAGTAAGGCTTATAGCTTTGCAAGTTCAAAAAAAAATCTTGTTAAGGAAGTGTTAAAGTTAATACAAATTAATGCCAAATGTAAATGGAATTTCAAGCATTTACGCCAATGGTTTATTAATTTTAAGATAATATAACTACCTGTAGTTGTTTTTCACGTCTCTGCAATAATCCTAACTGAACGTAAATAAATCCACTTTACTTAACTTAATACAGATTTAATGGCATATAGATTTATAAAAACTGAAAGAAAGTCCTCGATTTTAACTAAACTTTTCTGAATTTCTACTTTAAATTGCAACTTATAAAGTTTTTTTTTATATACAAAATAACTGGTATCACAAATTTACTTTGTAAAAGATGGAATATATATATGTATATATATATATGTATATATATATATATATATATATACATATATATATATATATATATATGTATATATATATATATATATATATATATATATATATACATATATATATATATATATATATATATATATATATATATATATATATATATATATATATATATATATATATATATATATACATATATATATATATATATATATATATATATATATATATATATATATATATATATATATATATATATATATATACATATATACTTATATATTCATATAGTTAGTTAGATATGTTCATATACATATATTCAGAAAATGTGTTATGTATTTTGTTATTTCTAACACCATCTAGTAATGACGTCTTCTTGCTAAGAACTGTATCGAGCAATAATCTTATATAATTTTTCTTACAATTTTTGAAGTAATTTGGATTAATACATAGATTAGTTTGAAAGTTAAAAACACAATGATAAAATATGTTACTTAACTTTCTAAAATTTAAGACAAAAACTAACATATGTTATTTAACAATATATACGTATTATATTTTACAATGCAATAAGTTATTTTCATAAGTTATAATGAAAGCAAAATTAAATTTCGAGAGTTCTATTTAAAAAAAAGTAGACAGTGCTTTAATAATCTGTCGAAGAAGCCTAGAAAAGTAGTCAATATTGTATCTTTATGAATGGTTTATAAAGTAATAACAAACATTTATAATTTAATTAATAATAATTGTATTATTCTTAAATATCCTGTTTACTTCAAACGTGTTTCATATTTTTCATGTATTTAGCTTTTCTTGCTTTATTATCTAGAATTACAATTTGATTTATATGTAATTAACTTGATTTGCATCGCTTTATTTTTTGTTTTTATTTTTTTTTTGTTTACTTTTTCTACCGTTATAATAACTTTAGGTAAGTTAACATAATCTGAAAATCTCGTACAATACTTTTAATTAATGGCGTTGTGAATTTTGTGAGGTGTTGCCGTGATATCATGTTTCAAATGTCTTTAATTTTCATTGAGATTTACGTGAATATAATCTTAATATTATATCATTATTAGTGTATAGACAAAATTAATTTTGTTTTAAAATTACCAAAAATTAAAATGTTTACAAAGTTTGTTAAACAAGTATTTGGAGATGAATGGTAACTTAAAAATAAAAAAGTTTACAAAATATTCTTTGTATCTTGTGAGAGACAATTCAACTGCTCATAAAGACAAAAGGGTAAAAAGTATTTTTATGAAACATTTACGATTAATACAATCAAATAGGTATAATTGCAGCTGTTTTATCTAAACCTTTTGATACAAAAATCTTAAAATTAATTATTTATTATTATTACACTCATTATTATTACTTTTTTATCATTATTATTCGATTGTAAGTCTATTGTATCTTGTAAAATTTCATTTTTAAAAACAACCAAATGACTTTACACAAATATCATCTATCATTAATTTTCTGTTTATTTTAAATTTCTCGACTAGTTTCCTTGAATTTTTTCTTTAAACCATTCCCATAACAATGTAATAAGGTCAATTATCCAACTCACTCGACTGTTAAAATATGCGGATATCTATGTTAGCTATAAAAATACATTTATTATTTTATATATATATATATATATATATATATATATATATATATATATATATATATATATATATATATATATATATATATATATATATATATCAAATACATCGTATAAGAAATTTTATATAAATGTATTGTGTGTTTCGTTCTATGTGAACATTGTACCTTTAGTGCAAAAGGTCGCTAGAGGTTATTTTTTTTTTAAATCATGCAAATGAAAAACCTTTTAGCTTTTCTGATTATTGCTCATCAAAGTATCTTTCAGCAAAGTTTTCAGCAAAGTTTTGAGCACTTAGAAGAAAGAGAAGTATCATAATTTTTATTTTAAAAGTCAGCTAAAATTTAGTGTAATACTAAATAATATTAAAACAAAGAATGAATAAAAAAAGTATTAGTAATAAAAAGATAAATAAAATAAAAAAAATCATGTAAGTATTAGGAAAAAAAAGTACCTTAAAAAAAAAAAAGTAGCTTAAAGCATATTTTAGACAAACTAAGTTAACCACTCATTCTTACTTTGCAATATTATCTTTATTTATCATAAATAAAAAGCATTAATTATCTCTGCATTAATTATCTCTGAATTAGTATAATATCAGTTTGTGGCTTTTCACTCAAAAGAAACGATTTTTTTTTTCAGCTGAAATATAAAGTATCTGTTTAAGGAATTTTATTTTTATATTTTTTAATTTACTTAATCAAATTGTTTGTTAAACATGGCAAATAGTTTTTTGAACAAAAACAAAAAAAATTTAAAAACGTTTTTGTTTGCAAACTATTTACTATATAATGTTTGTGTTTAGTGATGTTAGATCGATTGAAGACGTTCTTTTTTCAATGCTTAAATATTAAATCTTTAAAGTTTATGATCCACGATTTTAAAGATGACCAATCAAAACATGACAGAACAAAAAGATTTTAAAGACGATCGAAGTCATGTTGCTGTTATAGTTACTTTGCTTATCTTTATTATGGTCATTGCTCTCATTGGAAACATCATCGTAGTAATAGTAGTCACAAAAAAGAAGAGAATGCAAACTTTCACAAACTGGATGATTTTAAACTTATCAATTGCAGATTTGTGGGTAGCTCTTTTATCGATACCATTAGATATTCCAATGGAATTAAATAACCAAAGGTGGATATACGGAAAGACACTTTGTTCCTTAATTTATCCTTTGCAAACATCCTCAGTGTATGGTTCAGTCTTTACTCTTGTAGCGCTAAGTCTTTCAAGATTTTGGGCTATTGCAAAGCCATTTAAACGGCAGCCTAATATATTTGCCGCCAAAGTCATAATAGCCGCTATATGGTTTTGTAGCTTAGTTGTTGTTATCCCTTACATGCTAGTCTTGAAATATAGTGAAACCAATGGTGTACAAAGCTGTTCAGAAAACTGGACAGATAAACAAAGGAAAACATACACAATAGCTATATTTGTATTCCAATATGTGTTCCCATTGATGGTTATAAGTATTGCTTACACTTACATTATCCGCGAGCTATGCTCTCAAAAAAACGGAGAAAATAACAACTGCAGAAGGAAACAACAAGAATCAAAAAAGGTTGTAAAACTTCTTTGTATTATTACATTGGTATTTGCAATTTGTATTTTACCGTATCATATTTTTGCTCTATGCGTCGAATTCGGGATTTTAAACAGGGAGAGCAATTATATTTTAAACCTAACTTGTTATATTTTTTTATATGCACATTCGGCAATCAATCCTTTTATATACAATATTTTCAACACAGAGTTTCGAGATTCGTTCAAAGAGCTTTGTAAGGCGTTGTTACATTTTTTGTTCAACTATAAAACAATGAATGGGAATGCATATGTTTCAAGAAGTAGGCTCAGTTATTTACCTGGCAACAGGCTATCAACCATAAGTACTAATACTATTATTAGAGTAAGATATAGCAAGTATTTTGCTGATGATAACATGGAACTAGAAAACACATTTTTGGAAGATGATTAAATATTACAATTATCACTCAAATAAAATATGTATTTAGTAGAATATGTAGATTTATAAATTTTATATATTGTATTACATTATATTATATATCATATTATAAATGCATATAAAAATATATAAAAACACACATGTATATATATATATATATATATATATATATATATATATATATATATATATATATATATATATATATATATGTCTGTGTGTTTTCTAAGAGTAGGTTTTAACAGTATTTAGAAAGCATGCTTGTGCAAATGGTTGTTTTTTTGTTAGTTCCTGTTCCTTGTTGATGCTTTTTTTTTAACTTAAGGTTGTTCAATTACACTGTCAATATCCGGAGTTTTAAACTTCAAAGAAAAAAGAAAGTTTTGCGACGTTTGTTTTAAAACATTTTAAACTGCTTAGTCTACAAAAAAAATGCCGCATCATATTACATAACTTCTTTGTATAATAAAATATAAAAATATTATAAATAGCAGAGCACAGTGGTAGTGATTTTAATGGGAAAAACGATTCATTTTAGATTATTTTGTAAGTTGGCGCCTTATTTGGGATTTAGATTTTGAATACAAAAGCATTTCACTGTATTCTTTTCAACAATTGACATAAAACTAAACTTAAAAAGCTCAAACAAATAAAAGTCAATTTTTAACCAACACACATAAGGCACACATCTCAATATGAACTTTTTTTAAACGGTTAAACTATTTTACCTTAAAAAAGCATTTAATGGCTGTGTGAGTTGCAAGATATTGTTTCAAAGGACTGCGTATGCGGTATTTTGGTGCTATGTATGGGTAAGAAAATTGTAGATGGTCTGAAAATAAATTTTCCTCTAAAAGAACTCGTCATACTGTGTCTCATAAATACTGAAACAAAATTAAAAGAAAAAAACGAGAAACAGCATTACGAGAAAACGGAACCACTCGAAAACGATATAAGCGAAAAAAAAATTAAAACTGCGAGAAAACGAAATGAACTAAAAAAAATTAAGACTTGTTTGTTATACACTTTTTTTCTGAGTATTCGAGATTTTTTTCAAAATGGATTATTTTATATAATTGCATATAAGTATTGAATTCGATTGAATTCAAATTGCAAATATTTTTTTTTATTTTTTTACAATATCTTCGCTTAAAGTATTTTGTAGTTAGTCAGGAAGTCGGAAAAATGAAAAGTCGAAAACAATTGAAAAATTATCTAACAAACATTTTTTAAATTCTCGAATAAACTTGAACTTTTTGAATTTTATCCGAGAATTAAAAAAAAACTTTTGAATAACTTAGGTTGCAGAGCGTATTGTCATACAATATGCTCTGCAACTTAAGTTTTGGAAGTATTCTGTTATATGAAGCATAATGTCATTGAATAAGGATGGGAAAAATTGCATTATGGAAAAACATAGTTTTTCGGTACATATGACAATTTTAAAACACATGAGTATTGACAATAAAACAATGGAGCGCTAAAAATAAGGAAAAAACTCATGTTTGATAAGTTAAAGAATATTATTATAATATGTATTAACAGTATATATTTATTTAAATCTCCAATAATTTGCAGAAGAGATTTGAAAAAAGTTATTAAAAAAAATGTTATTTGTGTGTTTTCTGTAGAAATGATTCAGTTTTGTATAGTTTACTTTACGAATAATAATACATTAGGTATGTTTTCGATCAGATTCCTGGCTATACGAAAATAGATTTTCTGAAAATATTATTTAATGCTAAGTCTCTTTTAACTCCACTGGATGCTTTAAACTCCACTGGATACCTAAAACACTACAGAGTAATAAATAAAAACTATGATTGAATAAAAAGCTACTTCATGAAAAAAAAACTTCTCCAGGTTGCTTACTAATAACATATATAATAACCAATCTGGAAAACTAAAAATTTTGTGCAAACTCAATAAGGGTCAATTCTTGTTCTAAATTTGTTTAAATAATTTTAAAAATGCCTCATTAAAGGCTAACTCGACAATGTTTGCTCGCGATAAAAATTTCTTCCTTTCAAACAATGACGTCAAGCGACTTTATACTGAAATTAATTTTGAAATAAAGAATGCCATAAAGAATGAGTGGTTTAAGGCTAATAAATTATCACTCAATAGATAAAACAAACATATTCGATTGAAAAATCTAAAAAAAAAATCTGTCTTCAAAATTACTCGATCTCATTTTAAATGATAAATAGTTATCTACTAAATAATTAGTCCATAAAGTTCTTAGGAATTCTTATTGATAAAAAATTTATTTTCGTTTCCTTACATAAACTGTTTTTTATCGAAAATTAGTAAAACAATTGGTTTTATGTCAGTACATCATTAAATGGTTTTGTTAAATATGAGTTTTATAAAAAAAATGGTTATAAAAAACTCACACTATTATCTGCTACTTCATGATAATAAAAAAACCCATTTTATTGTCTGCTACTTCATGATAACAAAAAACTCACATTATTATCTTCTTCATTTTTAACAAAATACGACCTTTATTAAAATGCTGCAAATTAAATATTGAAGTTATTAAAAATTTAAAAGCGATAATTTCCTAAATTTTATTTAAATTTTAAAATTTAAATTTAAATTGAATTTTAAAATTTCAAAATTTAAATTTTATTTAAATTTTAAAGCTATAATTTTCTTATACATAATATATAATTTTCCGAATTAGAAATATTTTGGTCGTTTTTCCGTTCAAAAGAACGCTAGCCTTCACAGAAAACATTTTTTTTTAAATTTTTTTTTCACAGAACCTTCACAGAAAACATCATTTTTTTACAGATTTAGAATACGCAAAAAATTATTGACCAAAATTGACCTAATCTTCTTTCTATATATATATATATATATATATATATATATATATATATATATATATATATATATATATATATATATATATATATATATATATATATATATATATATATATATATATATATATATATATATATATATATATATATCTATATATATATATATATATATATATCTATATATCTATATATCTATATATCTATATATATATATATATATATATATATATATATATATATATATATATATATATATATATATATATATATATATATATATATATATATATATATATATATATATATATATATATATATATATATATATATATATATATATATATATATATATATATATATATATATATATATATATATATATATATATATATATATATATATATATATATATAAAATAGTTTGTCCACGAACAAAGCCTCAATTCCAGCACCATTCATCGTAGAACTAGAATCAACAGAATCTTGTAACAACTATAGAAAAAATCGTCGACAAACTCACTTCGTTTGAAAAAATTAAAAGCATCTAGATTTGTACTGAGGGCACTCTAGCTGAGCAAGAAACTTTCAACAAACTTTTCAACGAGCAGTAAAAGCTAAATGACGGATCTTTACCAGCTCTTTCGATTTGTCATTCGTTGTGACCAAGTTCGTTGTATCGACACCACCACCAATAAAGTTCTCTTTAACGGTACAGAGAAAATTCCATTTAGCAACTGAATGATAGCATTTTTCTGCTTTCCAGTTAACGAATGATTGATTGCCAAAAGTAGTCGTCTAATTCTGCAATCTAACATTCACACCTTAACTCTACAGTTGTTATCTACCCCTTACCTTTTTCTAAACTTCTCAAATGCCTCTATACTAATCTGACCTCTCTTGTAAACAAATACAATGAACTCAACTTTTGTGAGACTTAGTTCGATATAGAAAAAACAATTTAGATTGATAATTACTCTACACCTTTCTGCCTCTTACGTACTTCTTCTATTGGAGCAGTATCTGTCTATAAAAAAAGTTGTCAACACCTTTGAATTTAACAAAAACAAAACTCTTTCTGAAACAGATAACTAACAGGAATGGGTTCAAATAAATTTTGGTTTACAACTTATTTTATTACGTTGCATCTACAGGCCCACCAAACTCCGAAGCAGCTATTAACAAATCATCAACAAGTCGGTTTGTCAAGCATCCATTCCAAACGAACAAAAAATAAATTTACAAAACTTCTCATCCTTGGAGACTTTAACTACCCTGAAATTGAATAGAACAGTTCAGGATGGTTATATACTTAAGACTGCCTACTTACTCATTTTGTCTTAAAACCAACTTTTGGGAAAAATCAACAAGACCTTGTGTTAGCAAATGATGCAACATATATATACAATGTAAAAGTTGATTCTCCTTTTTATGGCTCAATTAACAAGGCTAAAATTTGTAAAGATTGTATTTGAGCTCAAGAAAATAACGAAAGCGTGCTAATATCTGACGGATCTGAGATGTGCAACTTGTTGAACAAACAGATCTTCTCTGCATTTAGCAAGGACCTATCGAGTGGTTATCCTTTTTTCAGGCAAGCACGATTGAGATTTTCAACATAAATAAAAACGTCTTTTTTCAAGTTGCTTTCAATATGCGTTTCTCTACACTGGACAAAGGCATTGATGGATTTCATCCGTTCGGATGGAATCCATCAATGCTCTACGGATGGTTTCCATCCGTAGAGCAGATCGGGCTTTCGGGAGGAAGCCCAATCTGCTCTATCCTTGCCTTTTTTTCTTGAAGCACAAAAAGTCTTTTACTACCTGTGCTGTTCCTATTTGCTTGAAGGAAGCCAACGTAATATCTATTTTTAAAAAAGGTAGCAGTAAAAATTAATTCGGAATTGTATGCTCAAACATATGATTAATCACAACCTGCTTGACATCAATCAACATGGATTTGTACCTGGAAAATTATGTATGACAACTTGATCAAAACCTTTGATATCATTTTCAGCGCATGATTTTCGTCTAGAAATTATTATGATTCTTCTTGATTTTGCTAAAGATTTTGATAAGGTTAGTCACAGGCTTCTAATTGTCGAACTACGCCCATAAGATTTTGAAACAAGTACAGTCAAATAGTTGCTTAAGATGAGTACCTCGCTGATTGGTTGGAGATCCTCAATGGATTTCCGCAAAGTTCTGTACTGGACCTCTCTTTGTGATACTGATTAATAAAG